AAACTGAATCCTAGAAGGGTTATGGATGTTATCCAAGATTCTCCATCTGGCAAATATAAGGCCACGCTCTAAGTCAGACACTCTGCTCTGAAGACAGAGGCAAACCCATTGTGTCAGCTGTGCTAGTGTGACCTGGGTGTCCTAGTACTGACTGCTCAGTGAATCTAAGTTTGGCCATGCCTAGAGATCTGCCTCCTGTGAACAGGACACGTATAATCCTTTCAAACCCACTGGAAATCTGATTCTTTCTGTGTATAATTCCCTTGTAATGTTTGCCAGAATTAGATCCCTTTAACAGTCACGTGCTTGGCACTAGTTGGTCCTTAACACATACTTGTTAAATGATTGAATTAGAGGACCTTGCCTTGTCACTGTTTGAGTTCCAGGTAAGATCCATACTTTTGGGTCCTGTGGTGGCAGGACGGGAAGAGGGCACAAAGGACGTGTCCTCAGTGTGCCTCTGCTCTGGGGCCTGCTGCCATGAGGCCACCTTTAACCGCTGTGCACAGGTGACTGCTCCTGCCTGGCCCTCAGCATCCACATCTTTTTCTGTCTTTCTCTGCAGGGCAGAACTGTGCCTGTCTTTTTATTTACTGCTCTCCATGAGGGCTCCAAAGCCTAGTGATACAGTCATCTTACAGACACTCCAGGAGGTGTGGGCCAAATGGAATGCACCAGGCCCAGCTGATGTTGGAAGCCCTACTCCTGCCCCACCCTTCATAGCCTCAGTGTAGACTCTGGACTCCCAGGCTGTCTCTTCCTCCCTCTCTCTTCCTCCTCTTGAAACTCCCTCCTTCCTTTCTCCCTTTCTTTCTCTCTCTCTCTTGACCTTAGAGGCTACTTTCCCCACCCCAATGCCCACCTTTCCAGGGGACTTCTTATTTCCTCCCTCCCCAGCCTGGTGTCCCTGACTTTGCTCAGTGTATTGGAACATCTGAAATCTAATTACAATATGTAGAGAACTCCAGTTTTTCTTGTGTTGTTTCTGGGTCTCATTCACATTCATAGCTGTGGCTGTGCAATTAGTTTACTGTCCCTGACAATCAGGGAGGGCTGTCAGAATCCTAAGCAGATTCTGGCCCTCTCACTCAGCTCTGGTAGGCTAGCACAGTGGTTCTCAAACCTCATTCATCAGAATCATCAGAAAGCAGCATGTTTAAGCAAGATTATTGGACCTCGCCATCGATGTCTCTCATTCAGTGGACCTGGAGGAGTCAGGAGGCAAGAATCTACATTTCCAACAACTTCCTATTCAGGACCACACTTTGAGAACTACGAGTGAATTGGTTTGGGTAGTGAAATTTATGCTACTAATTGTTTCGTTTCTGCTTGTTCAAGGCAGGTGCAATGGCAGTGTCTTAGCTCAGGCTGCCATAATAAAGTACCATAGTCTGGATGGTTCATAAATAACAAGAACTTATTTCTCACAGTTCTAGGGGCTGGAAATTCTAGATCCAGACACCAGCCTGGCCAGTGCTAGTGAGACTCTTTACCAGTTTGCAGACTGCCAACTTCTTGTTTTGTTCTCATATGGCAGAATGAGGGCTAGAAAGTTCTTTGGGGTCCCTTTTATAAGGGCACTAATCTCATTTGTGAGGGCTTCATCCTCATGGCCTAATTACCTCCCAGAGATCCCCATCTCTCAATACCATCACATTGGGGGTTGGGATTTCAACATATGTATTTTGGGAGGACATAAGCATTCAGTTCATCACAGGGAAAAAAAAAAACAGAGTCAAACAGTGCATATATATATATATATATATGAGAATGTCAATTGTTGATGTAGTGAGCCAATGGTTGAGAATGGCATTACTTGATTAAAAGTATTCTAAAACTTTTAGAAAGGTCTCTGAAGTAGTGAAAAGGTCATACATACCAAGGTCAGCCCACACTGGGATGAGCACCCATCACTTGGGCAATATAGGAATTTTGTTCTGTAGATTTCTGCACATCATTCATAACTAATAGTGCTACACTGGGGATGATTTGGAATGACACAGTTTCTTACTCAGGCTGAGGGAAATGTTTCTGGGAATGAGTACAGGGTGAGTCAATTAGTTAAGTACAGCTTTAACCTTAATTCAAGCCAAGGCTGAAAGAAAAATCGCTTTCCCTCCTGAGCTTTACTTGTCCTGCTTTGTACCACCACTGCAATTGCTTCCAACTCTAGTGTTTTACTAGAAAGAGGGTTTGGAGGGTTTAAATTCAAAATCTAACAGGAGTTCCGCGCTATCAGGTGAGGATCCGAGGAGCCCTGTTTCCATATGAGGTGACCAAGTGCCAGGTCCTGATAAGAAGTTGTCAGGAAACTGTGGATGGAGGTCAGAGTGCTTGGACATTCCAGATAAATGGCTCAAAAGCAAGGACAGCAGTTAGGTTGGCTGGCTCCTACTGGACATGGGCTCGGGGAAGAGTGGACCTTGCCTCCAAGAGTCTGTGTTCTGGGGTTGGCAAAGACGGCTCTGGGTATGATGGGAAAGCATCCATCCCACAGGAAGGTCTCTTACCACATATGTGGGAGAACTTGGCACAAACTCCCGGAGCCAAGGGAGGAGCTCTCAGAAGTTAGGATTCTTTCTTGAGCAGCAGAAGGACAACTCCTCTGTGTTTAGTTCCAGGAACTAGGGAAAAATACTCCACCCCAAACAGAAAGAGCCAATAATGGTAGGAAATGGATTCCTAGATACCGATGGGTGAAGGGTAGACAACAGTGGGGAGACGAGGAGATGAGCCCAGGGGTGATGAAGGGAGTGAAACTGAGCCTCTCTTTAATGAAACTGGAGCCAAATACTACTGTGATTTTCATCTCTAGCCTAGAACATTCTGAAGCTTAGCTTGGCCTGCAGGAAACAAAGGATACTTTTTATTTTGTAGTACTTTCAAATATAATGAAGAAGTCACAAGAAACATACAAGGAACTTCTCAAGGAGTCCTTTACCTAGAGTCAACATTTGGCACCTTGGCTTAATCGTCCTTTGTCAATCCATCCAAACTCACACACATATCTATGTCTATATCTATATCTATATAATTTTTTTTCAAAACCATTTAAGAGTTGATTACAGATAGCATGTCCTTCATCCTGAAATAAATCAGTGTGCTTTCCCCAATATCGTGTCAAAGTCAAGAACTTAA